ACTCACGTTTACGTTCAGACGACCAGAGAGTGGTGAGACGCTTCACTTACGTTTACGTTCAGACGACCAGAGAATGGTGAGACGCTTCACTCACGTTTACGTTCAGACGGCCGGAGTGGTGAGACGCTTCACTTACGTTTACATTCAGACGACCAGAGAGTGGTGAGACGCTTCACTTACGTTTACATTCAGACGACCAGAGAGCGGCGGGACGCTTCACTTACGTTTACGTTCAGATGACCAGAGTGGCGAGACGCTTCACTTACGTTTAGACGACCAGAGAGCGGCGAGACGCTTCACTTACGTTTACATTCAGACGACCAGAGAGCGGCGAGGCGCTTCACTTACCTTCAGATGACCAGAGAGCGGCGAGACGCTTCACTTACGTTTACGTTCAGACGACCAGAGAGCGGCGAGACGCTTCACTTACGTTTAGACGACCATAGAGTGGTGAGACGCTTCACTTACGTTTAGACGACCAGAGAGTGGCGAGGCGCTTCACTTACGTTTAGACGACCAGAGAGCAGCAAGACGCTTGACTTACGTTTACGTTCAGATGACCAGAGAGCGGCGAGACGCTTCACTTACGTTTAGACGACCAGAGAGCGGCGAGGCGCTTCACTTACCTTCAGATGACCAGAGAGCGGCGAGACGCTTCACTTACGTTTACATTTAGCCGACCAGAGAGCGGCGAGACGCTTCACTTGCGTTTACATTTAGCCGACCAGAGAGCGGCGAGACGCTTCACTTGCGTTTAGTTGTTTTCTTTGTGTACCTTGAGAGTTACATCTGACTAGTAACTCTTCTTCTTCTCAGATCTACTTCTACGCCGACGCCCAGACGACTCACATCACCTACCCAGACGGCATGGAGGTCCTGCACTTCCCCAACAACCAGACCGGTGAGACACGAGCAGTAACAGCTGTTTTCAGTTGATCACTGTATCGATGCAGACAGTAAAGGCGGAGCTAACTTTATCTACTTTATAGACAGCCGGGTAGTTTAATCTATAGTCATGCACCATCACACAGTTTTGTTCTAATAATCTGAATCTGCATATAAATGTAGAGTACTTTGGTTAATGTACTGAGTTAAACTCATGTTATACAAACAAATAAAAAAGCAGGTAATGAAACCTTGTATCAGTGTCTGAAACCAGCTGAGCTCTGATTTAAACTTGTACATTAATCTTCCGGTTCTTTTTATTTTTATTTCTCCAGAGAAACATTTCCCAGACGGCCGTAAAGAAATCGTCTTCCCGGACCAGACGGTGAAGAACTTGTTCCCCAGCGGGCGAGAGGAGAGCGTGCTGACGGACGGAACCGTCATACAAGTCAACCCGTAAGAAACGAGCTTCTGTTCTTCATGATTCTGGTTTTACAGGTTCAGACAAACGGTTCTGCCATTAGGCAGATATGAGCAGTGGTGAAAGTAATGAAGAACATGTACTTAAGTAAAATGTTGAGGTACTTCTACTTTAGTTACTTTTAAAGATATAAGCTTATAAGCTCGATTTGGAGTATTTTTCTTCCTCGATGCCACGAGATTTGTTTCCATTTCAAACACTTAACCGGGCGTGAACGTTCGCTGCCTCTTTTCAGGGACGGTACCAAAGAGATCCTGTTCAACACGGGCCAGAAGGAGGTCCACACGGCCGAGTACAAGAGGAGGGAGTACCCGGACGGCACCGTGAAGACGGTCTACGCCGACGGCAGGCAGGAAACCCGATACCCCAACGGACGGATCCGGATCAAAGACCGAGACGGCAACGTGGTCCTGGACAACATGGCGTAGGGGGACGCGGACTGCAACATGGTCCTGGACAACATGGCGTAGGGTGACGCGGACTGCAACGTGGTCCTGGACACCATGGCGTAGGGGGACGCGGACTACAGAGACAAATTGTCCTTCAGCGTGCTGCCAAAATCAGACACAAAGCTACAAAAGACCCACAGGAAATGAGTCGGAAGCCTTTTTAAATAGCATTTTAACTCTTATTTAGTATTTATTTACTGTTAACAGGA